ACTATACGTTTAACTACTCCTTAACAGTTAAGCTAGCGCTCTGGGCTGCTGCTGGGTAGAAACAAGATGCTGGGCCAGATGCAATGAGGTGTAGAGCTGGATTCGGGCCTTGTGTTTGCTACCTGTGCTTTAAAGGGTCTGACATGATTTCTGAACTTTGCTACATATTGGAATCCCCTGGGGATGGTTAAAGGTACAGATCTAGGGTCTCAGCCCATGTCTGTGGAATGACGATGTTTGAGAACAGAGGCTAGAAACCATTGGGGTTGGCCAAAAGGTCTGTTAGTTTTCTCTGTAAAATAAAAAACACATTTTTCATTTTTACTGATAACTTTATTGATTTGGATATTTTGAGTATGTTGGCTATTTCCAGCTATTGGCTTCTAGTGGTTAGAGGCTAGGGGTGCTGCTAAACATCTTCCAATGCATAAGGCAGCCCCACAGCAAAGAATTATTTGGCCACAATGTCAGTAGTAACCAAGAAACTTCACAACCCATTTTTGGCATGTTTGATCAGTCTCAGCACCTTCTCCATATACTGCATAAGTCTTTTTTCTTTTTGCATTTCAGTTGTGTTTTTAACCTTCCTTGAAATAAAAAAAGCATAATATGTTGAAAATGTTGCATATGTTCTTCCATGTTCAATATTAAAATGGCTGCACAAAAGTCAATAATTTTGTTTTTAATGCATGCTAGTATGACAGCTGTCACAGTACAATCTAACAAAATTGTTTTGAATGAAGTTAAAGACAACTAAGTACTACTAGAGCCATCATAAAGAAAAAACTAAACAAATATTTCAGCCAACGCAATACCATTTTAACTAGCTCTTCAGGTGATTTTGTTATTGAGGGTTCAAGGCTTGGGAGCACCTGATTTTTAAAAATTAAGCTTTTTGTGATCAGTTGGTAGCTATGTAGAATATATAATGCATGTTAATATGGAGTATTACATATAGTTAAAAAGTTATTAAAATTTCAGTATAAATGATTCATATATTTCCAAGACAGTGCTATACTAGTTTTTTAAAGTCTTTTAACATTAGGGTTATATCTTTTAAACATGTTTATTTATATGAACTATTAGCTATAGATAATAATTTTTTTAATAATAGTATTTTAAAAATTCTAGACAGCCCTGGCTATTGTAGTGGATTGAGCACAGGCTGTGAACCAAAGGGTCACTGGTTAGAATCCCAGTCAGGGCACATGCCTGGGTTGGGGTCCCTCATGGGGGCCACATGAGAGGCAACCACACATTGATGTTTCTTTTTCTCCCTCCCTTCCCCTCTCTCCAAAACTAAATAAATCAAATTTAAAAAAAAATTCTAGACAGCTTATATTAAGTCAGAAATTTATGGGAGAATTATAACACTATTTATATAAATATTTACATATGAGAAGCTACTGGAATTTTCCCCCCAGTGTAACATGGGTTCTGCTACATTTCTGTGTGCAAATAAAGAGTCTAAATAAGCACTAGGATCCTTGAATTTACAAGTTAAGAACCTGAGTTTTATCTTTGAATGCTCCTAATCAGCTTTTGTACTTCAGAAAAACCACCTATTTCCAAGGCCTGGGGTTTCTCGTCTACAATACAACCTAATTCTAGCAAGTTTCATGTCGAAAGCTGATTTGGACATTTTAAAGAATTGAGAAAAAGCGTTGAGTTTTACTATGAGTTAAGAAAAACATTTATAGTTGCATATAAACTTGTTTCTTTAATCTTTTAAAATAAACTTTTTTAATGGGACTCATTCATATCTTTAATATGCTAATTCATAGGTTGAGGTTTAGGACCTAGAAAACCTTTGTTTTCTAATACCATGGAATAGCTCTTAGAATTAGGCCTTATTAAAATTTGGTTTCGGAGACTGGATTCAGTATCTGAAGATCCCTTAGGTTCTGAAGTTATGTTATTCTTTAATCCCAGTGTAGGATTAAAAAATAACTGTTCACTTCGGATTACTGTCAATAATATCTAAGAGGTGACTGTTCTCGACAGTGCTTGTGCATTACTTGCTTCACTTTTCTGGTTGTGCTTTTATTTTCAGATCTGCCATTCATTTGGTCTCTTAGGTAGATTTAATTTTAGAATTTGTTATATTGGGAGTTTCATTATAAATTCTGTTCACTGGTGTGAAACTTCATTTTTCAGTATTCATTGTAAATATCTTTTAGAAATTTGTGTCAGAGATAACATTATCATTCGCTGAGTTTTTGGGGGGGGTCAGTGACTAATCAAATGTGTTGTTACTGGTATAACTTAAGATGCTTGAGTGCATACAAGTAATAACAGTAAAACCATGGTATAATTTTTATAATAGATTCATATTCTGACTTAAAAACCTTATACTTTTGTAACTGAGTAACTAATCAATTATAAGGAAGAACAAACCAAATGGCATCTTTTAGGAAGACAGTTGCTATGGCTCAGATATAGAGCAATGTTTGAACTATTTTAAATAGCTTAACCTTATTTCCATAAAGAAATTGATATTTAGATAGTTTAAATTAAAAACTTATTTTTGTAAGAATCGTATTGTTCAATGATGAGTACTGCAATTTACAGTTTGAAATTACATAATTAGCTTTAAGAGAGAGACAATATATAAAAATGGCTCTTGAAGAGGTCACAATGAAAGTGTAGCGTTTTTGCACCTTTTAAAGAAGCACAAGAAGACCACTCTTACATATTGAAAATAGCTTGACTTTTTATTAAATGAAGTCTTCAGTGCAAAGACAGCAACTTATTTTGAAATCCGATTAAAATGTTAGAATGATTAAAAATAAAAACATGTCTTTTATGTTTACCTTCTTTGTTATTAATTTTTTGTTATTTCTTTGTTACTCAGGATTCCATGTAGTATTTTGTTTGTTCTGTCTGGAGAACTTCATTTAATATTTTGTTGCACAGGCCTGTTGGCAGTTAATTCTCCCACCTTTTCTCTTTTTGGATTAACAAGTCTTTATTTCACTTTCAGTTTTGAAAGGTATTTCTCTTGAATATAGATTTCTGGCTCTACAGCTTTTTTTCCTTTCAATCTTTTTTTAAAATGCCACTCTGCTGTTTTCTAGTTTAATAGTTTCTGATGAGAAGTTTGTTGTACTTTTTATCTTTGTTCCTCTGTGTCTAATATGTCTCTTTTCCTCTAGCCTTCAATATTCTTCCTTTATCTTTGGTTTTCAGTTATTTTGCTGTGCTATATCTAGGTATGTGTGTTTGGGGGGGGTTATTTTTGTTTCATTGTTTTTGGTTCTTTGGGAGGCCTTCACCTTGCTTGGATTCCTTCAAAGTCTCAGATTTGTGGTTTGTTATCGTTTGTTATTTTTAGAACATTTTCAGCCACTCTCTTCAAATATTTTTCTTTTCCATTCTTTTTCTTTTGGGACTCCAGTTATTGAGTTCTAGAGCTCTTTTTGAAATTGTTAAAATTTAAACCATTTGAAATTGTTCCATAGCTCTTGAATGGTTCCTCTTCTTCCTTCTCCTGTTGTATTTCAGTTTGAATAATTTCTTTCTTTCTTTTTTTTTAAAGATTTTATTTATTTATCTTTAAGAGGGGAAGGAGAGGAGAGAAACATCAATGTATGGTTGCCTTTCATGCATCCCCTGCTGGGAACTGGCCTGCAGGGAACCAGCCTGCAACCCAGGCATGTGCCCTGACTGGGAATTGAACTGTGATTCTCTTGTTCGCAGACCTGTGCTTAATCCACTGAGCTATACCAGCCAGGGCCCAGTTTGAATAATTTCTGTTGGTGCATTTTCTTTAAGTTCACCAATTCTTTGGTTAGCTGTGTCAAGTCTACTGGAGATCTCATTAAGGAGTTCTTCATCTCTGGGATGATATTTTTGTTGTTGTATTTTTTTTAATTTCTAGCATTCCCGTTTGTCTTTTTCTTGGAATTTTCATCTCTTCACTGGAATACCTTATCTGTTCATATGAGTTGCCCATATAATTACAGTTATTTTAAAGTCTTTGGTTGTTCTAAAATCTGGGTTATCTCTGGGTCTGGTTTTGTTGATCACTTTACTTCTTAACAGTGGATTGTTTTTCCCATTTTTTAGTGTGTTATTAATTTTTATTAAACATGGGACTTTGTATGCAAACAGTACAGACTGAGGTATGTAGTATTCATGCCAGCAAATGGGCTGCTTCTTCTGTTAGACCAGATGTGTGAAGTGTTGATTTAATCTACTCGGGAGTAAGTTGAGTTTGAGTTTTGTTGTTGTTATGGTTACCTTCAGTGTAGCACATGCTTTAAATTCTGTAAAAATTGTTGTTGCCTTGTCTGTAGGGTAGGAACTAGGTGCTACAGGGTAATTCTCAGTGACATGCTTCATGTCAGGTTTTAGCTATCTCTGCACAGAAGGGTTGTCTGTCCAGGCACTTCCCTTCCCTCAGTGGCAGGCTTCTGTTGCTTGTTACTTAGTGTTGGGCTCATGATGGGGGCAGAAGGATTTCTCCGCTGTCCTGGTCCAATTGTAGTCTATGGCAAGCTCAGTATATTAGGGTCTTGAGAATTGGACTATATTTGCCTTTCAGAAGCATGGTAGCCACACTGTCCCCGTATCTGAAGCCTTACCTGCCTCTTGTCATCATCTCTTATTCAAAGCAAAAGACTTAAGCTTTCAGGTGAGGGCAGCCTCAGGATGACCAGAGCTTTTACAGTTTCATAGTCTCCATTGCATTTGATTCCATGATTTGGTCAGTATGTCTTAGAGCAGTTATTTCTCACTCTTGGCTGTGCATGAGAATAACCTGGGGAACCTAAAAAGCTTCTCATGCCCAATTACATCAGAATTTCTGGGGGTGGTATTTTATTTAGCTTTGCCAAGTTATTCTAATACATAGCCAAGGCCGAGAACCATTACCTGAGTGTACGTACTCCCAATTTCTCACCCTTATTCCATCTCCAATACATTTATCACTTGGTTAACATTGTTTATTTTTTAAAATTCCAGTGTAGCAGTGTATTCTTTTGCAGTAATTCCTTGATATTCCTCCTCTTGGCTCCTGGCTCCTTGATATTACTCCTCCTGGGATACTCCCACAGTATCCCATAGTTAGTATCAGCTGCATACTATGGTCTGAAGAACCTGAGGTATTAGAATGTATACCATTGAGGTATCGTTAATTAAATACCCAAAGTGTCAGCTCCTGATAATATATGAAAGTTCCGTGATAGTAATTTTCAGTAGGGTGTAGAACAACTCAGCCCCCTGGGACATATATCAAAATCATCTAGACCAGGAGTCAGCAACTCTTTCTGTAAAGGGCTAGTATTCAACATACTCAACATATAGTAATCACCTTACATATTTTTGGCTTTGCTGGCCATATGGTCTCTGCCAGAACTACTCGACTTTGCCATTGTAGCATGGAAAAAGCCATAGACAATATGAATTAACATGTGCTTTGAAATACTATTTTTTAATTTTTTCAACCATTTCAAAATGTGAAAAACATCTTTAGCTTACAGACTATACAGAAACAGGTTGTGAGCCAGGTATGGCTTGTGGGCCATATCTGAGGCTGAACCCTGATCTTGGGAATTTTTCAGACATAACTGCATTATCTTCCTGAGAATCTAGTAAGCCAACTCTGTGACATATAGCCCGCAATTGAGAAGTCAGACTGCTGTTTGCAATGAAGGAGAGCAATTTGCACACCTTAAGATTTGCTAGAATAAAAAAAAATTTGAGATATTGATATAACCTAATTCGAACATTGGTTATTTAAATATATAATGTGGACCAGTTATGTAAAGAAGGTAGAAAATTATGAACACCCCCCAAATAGTCTTACTGGTATGGTATTTTCAGCTTGAGGCTTAGAGAATGTTGAATATGTAGTAAGTTTTTAGTTTGTACTTACTAATGATATTAACGGGTTAGTTACTTTATAGAGGATTAAAAATATATTTAGTGTTTAATAAGATATGTTTTCTTGTTTTTTTAATTATATTTTATTGACTATGCTATTACAGTTGTCCTGATTTTTCACCCTTTTCCCCCCTCTGCCCAGCACCCCTTTCTACCTCAGGCAATCCCCCCACCAATGCTCATGTCCATGGGTCATGCATGGAAGTTCCTTGGCTACTCTATCACCTGTCAAACTTTACATCCATGGCTATTCTGTAACTACCTATTGGTACTTCTTAATCCCCTCACCACTCCTCCTGTTCTTCCACACCCCCCCCCCATATGGCAACCAAAAAAACACTCTTTGTATCCATGATTCTCTGGTTTTCTTATTTGCTTAGTTTGCTTTTTTAGATTCAGTTGTTGACAAATATGTATTTATTGCCATTTTATTGTTCACAGTTCCGATCTTTTTCTTAAATAAGTCCCTTTGACATTTCATATAATAATGGCGTGGTGATGCTGAACTCCTTTAGCTTTTTCTTGTCTGGGGAGCTCTTTATCTGCCCTTCTATTCTAAATGATATCTGGGCCGAGTAGAGCAATCTTGGCTGTAGGTCCCTGCTTTCCATGACTTTGAGTATTGCTTACCTGTCACATCTAACCTGCAAAGTTTGAGAAATCAGCTGACAGTCTTTATGGGACTTCTCCTGTATGTAACTAACTTCTTTTTTTTTTGTTCCTTTTAAGATCCTCTCTTTATCTTTATTTTTTGGCTTTTAATTATGATGTGTTTTGGAGTGGGACTCTTTGCACCCATTTTTTGGGGGACTCTCTGTGCTTCTTGGACTTGCATGTCTATTTTCTTCACCAAATTAGGGAAGTTTTTTTCCATTATTTTTCAGATAGTTTTCCAATTCCTTACTCTTCTTTTTTCCTTCTGACACCCCTATGATGCAAATGTTGGACCTCTTGAAGTTGTCCCAGAAGCTGCTTATTCTATCCTCATTTTTTTTGGATTCTTTATTCTTGTTGTTGCTCTGATTGGTTGTTTTTTGCTTCCTTATGTTTCGTATCATTGATTTGAATCTTAGTTTCATCCACTTTACTGTTGTTTCCCTGTAAATTGTTCTTTATTTCAAAAAGTGTATATTTCATATTTGACTGGATCTCTTTTATGCTGCTAGATAGATCGTCACGAAGTTCCTTGAGCATCCTTATAATCAGTGTTTTGAACTCTACATCTAATAAATTGCTTATCTCCATTTCATTTAGCTCTTTTTCTGGAGTTTTGATCTGCTCTTTCATTTGGGCCATGTTTCTTTGTTTCCTTGTTTTGGCAGCCTCCCTGTATTTGTTTCTATGTTTTAGGTAGAGGTGCTTTGACTCCATGTCTTGGTAGTATCATCTAATGTAGTAGGTGTTGTATAGGACCCTGTGGCACATCCTCCTCTATTACCCAAGCTAGGTACTTTGTGAGACCTGAGTATTACTTCCTCTTGTAGTTGAGCCTTGGGTGCTGTTGGCAGATCAATGGGAGGGATTTCCCTAGGCCAGTCAGCTGCAAGGGTTGGCTGTGACCACTTACCACCAATCTTTGCCCTCTGTGGAGGATCAGCTGTGCGGGGTTGTGGTGCTCCCAGGTGGTTTGTAGCTGTCCACTGGGTGTGTTGGCCCTGGGTTTTCCCAGGTGATGCAGGCCAAGGTCAGTCTCCACTGGTGTCTTGCCCGGGCCACCGTTCCTGAGCTATAAAGCAATCTGAGACGGCTGCTACTTGTGCTGGGCTGGTAGATTCCCAGGCAAGCCAAGCTGTGAATCAGTGCAGTGCCTGGGGCTCACTGAGGCCAGCTGTTGCTTGTTTGATAGGATTTAGGAAGTTGTAAAGCTTGAGCCAAGACTAGCAGTTCATATAGAAAAGCAGCTTGGGTCGGGTGGAGTCCCTGGGAATCTCTGAGACAGGTCGAACAGTGTTAGCCAGGTTGATGGAGTCTCAGATATGGTACCAACTTGCTGGCTCAGTCTTGATGGATTTGGTTTCTTTAATTCTGTAGGTGTCAGAATCCCATTCAACTTAATTTCTGATGGTTCTGAATGATGTTTGTTTTATATTTTAGTTGTAATTTTGATGTAGTTGTGTGAAGTGGGGAGTCATGTGTGTCTACGCTGCCATCTTGACCAGAAGTTCTGTTTCCTTGTTTTTATGACTTTTGGATTAAAAATAAATAAATACCTCTATGAACCTTTAGCATAGAGTAGTGATTTCTGTCTCTATTGTATGTCATGATTATTTGGTAGAGTTGATTGAAAACATGGTAGTTTAGGTCCTACCTCCAGAGAGTTTTAGTTGCTTTATGGGTAATGTACATGAGCTGTCTGGGTTGAAAAACCTTTGGCTTTGATGAATTATAGAATGAAACCTATTTTTTAAAGGCAGTATATTTGCAGTAAAAATATTTAAGGCAGATTGGTAAAAGTAAATAATAAGGAATATAGCTCTGACTGCTATGGCCTAGTGGATTGAGCACTAATCTGTGAGCCAAAGGGTCGAGGGTTGAATCCCCAGATCAGGGCACATGCCTGGGATGCAGGCCATCTCCCCTGTAGGGGGTATATGAGACGCAACCACACTGATGTTTCCATCTCTCTTTTTCCCACCCTTCCCTGTCTAAAAATAAATCTCTCTCTCTCTCTCTCTCTCTCTCTCTCTCTCTCTATATATATATATATATATATATATATACAATCTTATTCATCTTTTATCTTTAAAAGATAACCGTTGTTAAGTCTTTATTTATACATTTTATGAACATATATAAACATAGTTTTTTAAACAAATAGGATCAAACAATATGTACCATTTTTGACTTGTTTTTACTTAGTTAATATATTCTAGACATCTAGAGAAGTTCTTTTGTCATAAATAATTTTTCCAAGGATTAAAATCAAAAGCACAGAATATAATTTCTGAGTGAGTTGGCAACCAGGGCTGATGACAGATGCAGATTACAAGGAGGACTATTTCTGGTATTGTTTGGAGGCTGGAACAAATCACCTCTCCTACCTCTTATCCCTGTAAAAAGTAAACAAACACGCTGCAAAAATCCAGGCAAAACTAATTTAAGATGAAGATTATCGGCAGCCTTGAATAGGGAAAAATAAGCAGTGTCATAAGATATGCCCAGGAAGAAAGGATATTTCTTCCATGTAATTAAAGCAATTGTATGGATGACATGCTTCAGGATTTCCATTCTTTGCATTGTATTTTTAAAATTTTGTATTTGTTTAATGCCAGCAAAGGCTCCCTCTAGCTTCCTCCTTTCATTGTTGCTTTATTGCTGGAAGCTTAGATTAGGAGTAGTATAGATGGAAAGAAAAACCTGTGGGCCTCTCTCTGTATGTTCAAGTTAGCTGTAGGATCTAGATAGTTAAAGAAAAGGTTGTGATATTCAACTCCTATCCTCTTAGTACTTGTTCTTCCTCTAGGGTTTCTGGGAATCTCTTTCGGCTCTACTGTTAGGATCCTGCATTCTCTTCACCTAAACTAACCCAGTAGGTTTCCTGGGTCTGCCAATAGTGAGTAGAATTTAGACTGACTTGTTTATCCAGAGTAGATCAAAATATTCAGAGGCCCTGTTCATTGACAGGGTTGTGTTAAAATATCAGGTAGTTGTAAATAATAGTAATAACATGAAACCTAAATTCATTGTAGATATTTTCAGTGGAGTTTAATTTTTATCTTGGTAAATAGCATGATTTTTTTAAAAGAAAGAAACATAAAAGTAAATTTGAGTTTAGGTACTTTGTACTCAGTCAGCTTTAGACATAATCCTGGACTGGTCATTAGAGGACCATTTAACATTGCATTTTAGTTGTATAATTCTTTGATATCTTAGGGTTTTATAAAGCATTAATTTTAAACTTTACTTTTCCTAATTATTATGATAGGTAAATTTATCGTTGAGGTCAATAGCTATATAGTCAGTAAGCAAAGAGTATTACTTGATAGTGTCAAATAATCTCATAGTGTGAGATTATAGTGTGAAATATAAGTTGAGAAATTTATATTCTACTAGTAGTATTACAAGGACAATGAAGAAAAGTTCTTCAGGGGGTTAGGTCTGATAAGCTGTTAGAAGTGGTCTTAGGACACAAGGCACATTGTAGACTTATTAGGATTACATTTTCTGTTGCAGAGCCTTTCCTTGTCTTAGAGCACCACCTCCCCCCACTGCAAATCATTACTCCCTTATATTCTAACTTTATTAGGTTCACTTTGGAAAGTTATATCTTTTTAATACAAATTGTATCTTCTGAGTAAGGTAAGCCTATTTATCTTTAATGCATTTATTATAAGTTGAAGCCATTTGATTGAGAATAATAGCATGAAAGCACTATTTCCCTGGAAACTAGAAGAGAAAAAACCTTTTAAAAGGCAAGCTTTGTCTATTTTTTCTTAATCACTAGCGTCTATCTCTCACGCCACTGAGAAGATTACATGGTGCTTTATCGTATGTTGGAAGATGTATCAGATGTCTCCCATGAAATGATGTTGAATCATGCAAGTCCATTCTAAGGATCAGTTCTTAAGAATTTGGTATCTTCCATCCTTTTCTTAAAAAAATAACTTTTTTGGAGATAATTATAGATTTACATGCAATTGTAAGAAATAACAGAGAGTCTGTGTACTCTTCACCCACTTGGAACATCTTGGAAAAGCACAGTGTAATATCAAAACCAGGATATTAACATTGATGCAGTCCACCAAACTTTTTCAGATTTCACCAGTATTGTACACTTGTACTCATTTGTATGCATGTGTATTTAGTTGTATACAGTTTATTATCTTTATATGTATCCACCATCACAGACAAAATACAGAAAAGTTATATTGCCACAGAAATCCCTAGTGTTACCTTTTTATAATCACACCTACTTCCTTTCTCAAGAGAGATTTTTTAAATGCCTAGTCATTTTTAGTCTTGACTTAAAATAAATTTTAAAAACATTTCTATACATATATGTGAAAATTTTTACTTAATTTTTTAAGTGTGGTTAAAATATCCAATATAAAATTTATCATCTCATCCATTTTTAAGACTGTAGTTCGATAATGTAACTTCCATTCATATTTCTGTGCAGTGGCTCTCCACATCTTTTTCACCCTGTAAAACTAAAACAACACCTCCCCTTCTCCATCTTTCCCAGTGTCCTGGCAACTGCCATTTTGTTTTCTGTTTCTGTGAATTTGACTGTTTTAAATACTTCATATAAGTGGAATCAAACATTATTTGTCTTTGTGGTTGGCTTATTTTATTTAGCATAAGTCCTTAAGGTTCATCCATGTTGTAGTATGTGACAGGATTGCTTACTTTTTAAAGCTAAATAATATTCCATTGTATGTGTATTCCACATTTAGTTTATTGATTCATTGTCTGTGGATTCTTGGGTTACTTCCACCTCTTGGCTGTTGTGAATAATACAGGTATGAACATGCATGTATAAATTATCTCTTCGTGATCCTGCTATCAAAATTTTTGGATATATACCTGGAAGTGGAATTGCTGGATCACATGGTAGTTCTATTTTTATTCTTTTGAGGAAATACCACATGATTTTCTTTCTTTTTTTTTTTTTTTTTTAAAGATTTTATTTATTTATCTTTAGAGGAGAAGGGAAGGAGAGAGGGAGAGAAACATCAATGTATGGTTGCCTTTCATGCATCCCCTGCTGGGAACTGGCCTGCAGGGAACCTGCCTGCAACCTGGGCATGTGCCCTGACTGGGAATCGAACCGTGATTATCTGGTTCACAGGCCCACGCTCAATCCACTGAGCTACACCAGCCAGGGCCCACATGATTTTCAATAGTGGCTATATCATTTTATATTTTTACTAGCAGTATATCACTGTACTCTAATGATGTTTGAATAAATAAGATTTAATTTATCAATTTTTGTTTTATTTTCTGACTTTTATTAACTTTCCTTTTACACTCAATAGAGTAATACTAGCACAAATAGCAGATGAAATATTTTGCATTAGAGACTGTATACCAAGGATGAGTCTCAAGGTGACATCTAAACACTTTAGAGTCAGCTCTTTTAATTATAGATAACATCAATCTTACCTGAACTAGTTTAAACAAAAGGAGGGATTTTAGCCCTGGTTGGTGTAGCTCAGTGGATTGAGCTTGGGTCTGTAAACTGAAGGATTGTGGTTTGATTCCCAGTCAGGGCACATGCCTGGATTGCAGGCCAATTCCCAGCAGGGAACACATGAGAGGCAACCATACACTGATATTTCTCTCCCTCTCTCCTTCTCTTCCCCTCTAAAGATAAATAAATCTTTTTTAAAAAAGATTTAAACTTAAAAAAATTTTTTTAAAACAGGGATTTTATACAAGGAAACTGGGACTGAGTCTGAGATGGTAATGTGGCAGGGCCTTAGAAATCACTAAAATGGGACTTGATTGTATCTTGTCTTTGATGGATCTATTTTTCATTGTGTATCACATGGTGATGGAATGGCTGTTTATAAATCGTGCACCCTTCAACTTCAGCCTTTCAAAGACTGAGGTGCTCAGTAGTCCCAGTACAGAACTCCTCTGGGAGGGGAATGACTGGCGGGGCTGGGGCCAGTTGCCTGCTCTGATACACCTGACCACAAACATGGCCAGGGCAATGGAGCCAGAGCAAGGGCCCAGCCCGTCTGTGGAGCTAGATGGATTGGGAGACCACCAGTTGTCAGAAAGAAAGGGAATGAATGCGAGAGAGACCTAATGAAAGCTGTGCTCATGAACTCTTTATAAAACTAAACTTCAATGAATAGTAATTGAAGATATATTGAAGAATAATGGAGCTTGAAAAGTTTTGGGTAAGGACTATTAAAATGACCTGAGGCAAAGACTTCTTAATAAAATTTTAAAATTCTGACTGTTGAGTACTGTATGAAAAGTTGAGAGCCAAGAGAGGAATTGCCTGAAATTCTTAAAATTATAAGCAATAAATTCATTGACTGATATCTGGAATGATGTGAATTAAGGGATAGATTTTTAAATGTCTTAACACTGTTATTTAGTGTAGAAAATAGAAAATTACACATCAAACAGCAATAAATTAACATATTTACTTTGGGAGATTTGTAAGTATATTATGGGTATATATATATGGGTATAGGGGTATATGGGTAATATATGGGTATACCCATATACTTAATATATGGGTATATTATGGGTATATACCCATATACTTCTTAATACATGGGTGTATACATATTTTATAAATATAGTATCAGACAAATTGATGTATTATGGTTACATGAGGGAGACATTTAGAGGAAATTAATGTGTAATCTTAATCTTTGAAGTCATGGAGGAAATGACTTTCCCATCAAGCATTAGCAATGATGATAATCATTAAAATGTATGTAGTACCACTGTGTGTCAGGCACTGTGCTAGGCATTTTTATATCTGTTATCGCATTTAACCTCTTCCAAACCATGGGTGCTCACAATTTGTTAAATTGAGTGTTCTAAGATGTTTTCCAGGGGAATTATTAACACTGTGCTTTTCCTTTCAGAGATGTGGTATTGGATCTTTCTCTGGGCTCTCTTCTCCTCTCTGTTTGTCCATGGTGCTGCAGGAGTGTTGATGTTTGTGATGCTGCAGAGGCATAGGCAGGGGAGAGTAATCTCTGTCATTGCAGTCAGCATTGGATTTCTGGCTTCTGTAACTGGAGCAATGATTACTAGTAAGTTGATTTTGTTTTGTTTAAGGGCAGAATTTTATATGTACTTATGGTTTTGGTAATGTTATTCTTATCGTAACTGTAATGTGTCATCTTTTCAGCACTAATCGCACTTCTCCTAGAAGGTAAAGATCAGCTTATTTATTCATTGAAATGGTTTTTGTACTTCTATGCAAAGACTCATGTTTTGTGGGAAATGCAAAAACTCCTGAGAGTTGATGGGGGCAAAGCATTTCATGGGAAAAATTATCTTATAATGTGTGTGGTTTCTGCTTTAAAGGAGCTCACTATCTCGTAAGGAAGAAAGATAGGCACACGAATATGATGGTGACAACTGTCCTTAAAAAGCATGAAAGTACAGCCCTTTGGTCATTGATGTCATCTGCCTATAACTACAAAATGAAATTGCCTTTCCTTCTTGTATACCAGGTTATGACACAACTCTCCCTAGTCCTCCTAGAAACTCCTCACTTTAGATGTCCTCTAGCTGTTGGCAAGGTTTCTCCTGTGCTGCCTCATGTGTATTTCATGGCAGGCCTCAGGTTCATTCCCCCTGGCCCTCTCCTCTTAACACTGTCTGTAGGCTCCAACTCTGGCCTTAGGTTCAAAACATAGTTCTGGTTTCTGCTGTGCTAGTGGAGCCAGAACTTCTCGATGCACCTTGAGACTGGAGGGTGCCACTGCTGCTTCCTTAATGTGGTCCTGCCGGAAACTGGCTACTTGTCCGTGCTGGCTGGTTCTGTCAGTGCCACTGGGTAACAGAGGCTTATGTTGGCCTTTGCTCCTGGCCTGCTTCCAAATGTCTGGGACAGTCCACTGCCTCCACTGGGTCTGTTTTCAGACTCTCCAAAAAGGACTTTTTACTTTCTAGTTGGCTCTGAGACCCAGAGATCAGAGGGGGTCCTTTTCTTCTACAGCTCTGAGGCCCCTCCTCTGTGTCCCACACTCACTGTTTCCCAGAGTGGTGGGCATGCCTTGTCTTGAGAGGAAGGCCCTATTCCCATGTCTCTGGGTATGTCCATGGCACTAATAAGACAATCGTAAAAAGGTTGTGGGAAGTAGCCTGTTGTTTCCCTTCATCATTTACTATTATTTAGTTTGTGTGTGTGTGTGTGTGTTATCTGGTATTAGCTTTTTGTTGTTGCTGCATTCAACCTGTAGCTTTATCATATGGTTCCTCATGCATTTTGCCATAGATAAGTTTAAAACAACTGCCCAGGTGTAGTGAAGCATAGCATATGCATAGTGAAAGAGTAGGAGATTCAGCTGGAAAGACAGAATGGAGCCAAATCCTAGTGGATCTTGGAAAGCCAGCCTGAAAGTGCTACAGGCTGTGGAAAAAATAGATATTTTTGAATGGGATTGGCAGGGGGCAAAGCAGTTCAATGGGAAAATGTGTTTTATAGCTGAATATAGAATATATGTGAGGAACCAAGAGAAAACTCTGGAAGAGCAGGGACCTTATCTATTTTCATCACTGCTACATCCCCAAAATAAAACACTGCTTGGAATATAAGAGATACTCAGAAAGTACTGGTTGGATGGACAGATGTAGTGAGGGAGGAAGAGCAGAGGAAAGGAAGAAAGAAAGGATAGAGAAGAGGGGAAGCAAAAGGGGAGGAAGAGGAATTAAGAGGCAATAACTATAATTTAACCATGAGGCTGGGATATGAACTAGAGTGGTGGCAGTGGATTGGAAGAGGACTTAATTTTAGGACTGTGGCCAGGGGGAAAAATCCAAATTAGTGATTACTTACTTACTTTGGTGGCATGCAGAGAGACATGAAGGGGACTGCCAGTGGTTTTGATGGGGCTGCTGTGGTGGTCGTGGGACAGTGAGCCAGGGAGGGAAGGAGGGACAGCTTGTTTGTGAGTCATAAGTAGCATGTGTATTTATTGGTACAATTTTTAAAACATTTTGAAGAAATGTCATTCTACTTCATTTATTTCAGCGATGTATGTATACTACCTACTTTCAATTCAGTCAAGAATAAAATAAGCCAATGATTTTAGAAACTGTAATGTTATATTTTAAAATTCTTGAAAATATAAGTCTGACACAATTTTAAGTAAATAGTATGTATCCAGGTTAATAGTAAAACATTTAAATTTATTCTGGCTAATTTCTGACCTGCAAACACTTGAATTAAGAAAACTAACAAATGTAAATATTTAACAACATTTTCTTAATGTAATTTGTGAGTGTCAGAGCACTCATAGCTTTTTATTCAGTGCAGCAAATGATTCTCGTGTATCTTTGTTGAATAAGATAGAATATCGATACATGTGTATTATACACGATCTGGCACAAATGATGTCCCATTTTTATTACAGAACCATAAGCATGTAATTCTGTAACATAACAATATCACATTCAAGCACAGCATATGACATTTTAGGTGAAATGTTCAAATTAAAACTATAAATTATTACACACATATTGTTACCCTACCAACCACACTCAAGCAGGTGTCACTTCTGCTGGACTCTGTACTTAGCTGTTTCTTAGAATTTTTCCAGAATAGAGTGGTTTTCCCATTTTTGTTAGTATAGATAATTAGTACCACCAATAGGAGAAAATGGGTTTTTCTGCAATGCCATCATGACATTTTACAAGGTGGGTCAAAAGTAGGTTTGCAGTTCGCATGGAAAATAATACAGTAATTAATAAATAATGATACAAGAATAGACTCTGTTTCACATAATCACAACTATGAAGCTACTTTTGCCCCATGCTGTATATCTGTCTAATTTTGATGAGGCATAAAATGACATCTTGTTGTTGGTTTAGTTTGCATTTCTCTGATTACTGAATTAATTAGAACATTTCTTTCTATACTTATTATATATTTAGATTTCCTTTTTTGCAAATTGCATCTTTAAGTATTTGCCTACTTTTCTTTTTTGGTTCTGTTTCCTTTTTATTAAATTACAGGTATTCTTCAATGTTAGATATGTTGTTCTCTTATTGGTTTTGGACTCTGCCAAAACTTCCAGTCTTTTACCAGTCACCTGTATCCATGATGTTATTTACTGGGCAGAAATCCTTAATTTCTTCACAATCAGCTAAAAGATTTTTTGCCTTTTGGTTTATAATTTAGAGTTTTGTTTAATAATTTTCCCCCACAATAAGGTCAAAAGATTTTTTTGATATATTTTTCCAGTAATTTTATAGTTTTACCTTTTATATTAAAGTCTTTACTTCGTTGAGAACATGGGTCAGCAAGTATTTTCTTAAAGGGCCAAATAGTAGATATTTTAAACTTTGCAGGCCAGATGGTCTCTGTCATAGCTATTCAATTTTGCCATTTAGTATGAAACTTGTCACAGACATATGTAAATGAGTAGGCATGGCTTTTTCAAATAAAACTTTACATACAAAAACTGATGTCTGGTATTCAGGTCATAATTTTCTCCCTGGTCTAGAGTCTACCTTTGTATTTGGTATTAGATAGAATTCCAGGTGCCTTTTTTTTCCTCCCATAGAAGAAGTAAATTTTTATCATAGCAGCCACTAAAATACACATTTCTTCATTGATTTTTGGCATCACCTTTTTATGTATTATGTTCTCAAGGTACATATATGTCTTTGAACTCTGTTCTTATTTGTTGATCTTTTTATCTGTTCTTTCAGCAAGACCACATTTTTCCATCCTCATGGTTTTATAATACAGGCAGATCTCATTTTATTACACTTTACTTTATTGCACTCCCCAAATGTTGCATTATTTTACCAATTGAAGGTAAACCCTCCCCCGCAAAAAGATCATGACTTGCTTTATTGCAATATTTGCTCTGTTGCACTAGACTGGAACCAAACCCACAATATCTCTGAGGTATGCCTGTATTTCTTACTTTTTTAACCCTTACCCAAGGGTATGTTTATTGATTTTAGAGAGCGAGGAAGGAAGAGAGACAGAGAGAGAAACATTGACTGGTTGCTTCCCCACTGCCACCCTTCCCCCTCTTACACACCCTGACCAGGGATTGAACCTGCAACCCAGTCAGGTATAGGCCCTGACTGGGAATAGAACCTTCAACCCTTTGATGCACAGGATGATGTTCCAACCGAGCCACCTGGTGAGGGCATGCCTGTATTTTTTAGTATTTGATCGGGCTAGGTCCCTCTCATTTCTGCTCTTTCTCAAAGGTAACGTAGCTGTTCATGGATCTTGATTCTGTCAGGTAAATTTTTTAAAATGGCTGTTGAGTTTCTCAAAAAGTATAACATTGATTTTTATTGAGATTTAATTGAATTTAGAGGTTAATATGAGAATAATGGCATATTAAATACCTAAGAACATGTAGTATATCCCTTTTCAGATCAAATTCTGTGTCTTTTGTTGGAGTTTAAAAATGTTTAAAATGTTTTTCTCCAAAGGACAGCTATATATTTTGATTAAGTTATTCCCTAAACTCATCATGTGGTGGTTGCTGTGCATAGACAATATCTCTTTTGATTATGTTGTTTAGTTTTATCAGTGTAGAGAGATGCTGTTAAGTTTTGTATGTTGAGTTTATGAAAGATTACAAAGCAGAAACACTGGTTATATGCAAAGTTAATAAGATGAATAGATTGCTAATTAAAAATGAAGTAAGAAAAGTAAAATATAAAGCAAAGAAGTATTAAAATAGCATAGTTTTGTAACAGCTATATAATCCTAAATATAAAAAAGAAAAATTAACATAAGAAGAAATAGAAAATATGAGTGGGACAGTAAGTATTTTTAAACAATTAAAATGTTGAAGACTACTTTTCCCAAAAGAACTCCAAGGCCAAATGGGTTTACAGATGATATCTCCCAAATTCCCAAGATAGTTAGTTCCTATTTTATCCAAATTATTGCAGAAAATGGGAAGAGTAAGAGCTGGGGCCATAGCTTACTTACCAGGGTTACAGTTATCTTGTTGCTAGACAAGATAAAGACTACACAAGAACAGAAAAGTGCAGGCTCATTTACCTCATGCATGTTGTTTTAGGTGTGCAAAAATAGCTCAGTATCGGAAATGAGTATCGCTGTGTGCCAATAAAACATTATTTATGGGTGCTAAAAATGGAATTTTATGCAATTTTCATTCATAATGAAATATAGTATTCTTCTTTTGATTTTTCCCAACTCTTTAAAAATGTAAAAAGCATCCATAGCTTTCATGCTGTACAAAACAGGTGGTGGGCCAGATTTGACATTTGGATTATAGTTTGCCAAACCCCTGATCTAATTACACAAACTGGTAGCGATCAACACACTACTAAAACTAAACCTGCTTTCACCTTTATATGTTTTTCTCTCAAGATATACGAAGGGCAAATTGAATCACTTTTTATTGGTGTACCTACTGCAGGCACTTTCCATTGCTGAATATGACATCTTCCATCCACTGGCAATTTTTTTCCTAGTTTCCCTCACAGGTTTATCTTTTTACTCACCTTCAGATCAACTCAGCAGTATTGCTTTCTCCCCTGTATCTTCACTGCACCAGTCTTCTCTAGCCCTCAATACTTTGGGGGTCTTTCCTTATTCCTAATTATCGGAAGTCCCTAACATGTACCATTTATCTCAAGCACTCTGTTTCACTTCTGTCCTCCTCATTCCCACCCAGCTTAGCCTCATAGTTCACCAAGAAAATGATGACCATAATGTTTGTAATTTTTCAGCTGACTGTCATGCAGTAAAATACACTTTAAAGTGAGTGATAAATAAAGCACAAAATATTTGTTAATACATATAAATGTAAAAGATTAATATCCAAAATTATTTTAAAAACCCTATGGATTAAATAAAAAGACAATCCAATTGAAAAATGGGCAAAAGATTTGACAAGCATTTTATAGAAGTAGATATCTTAATGAAATGCAAATTAATCAGAAATAACACCTCTCACCCACCAGATTGACAAAAATTTTTAAAAACAAAAGATAAGAAAATAACAGCAATCTAGCAATAGCCAGAAGGGGGAGGGGACAATGGGGGGAAGGGTTTTCAGGAACTGCTGTAAAGGACACAGGGACAAATCCAAGTGGGAGGGTGGAAGAAAGGGAGGGAGGTGGGTTTGGAGGGGGTGGGGAGAAAATACAGACAACTGTAATTGAACAACAATAAAATTTTAAAAACCCAAAAGATAAGAATATGGATTAGTAACTGGAATATAAATTGGTACAACTACTTTGAAAAACAATTTGGTAAAGTTGAAAATGCCTCTAATGTAGGACTGGGCATTCTGCCTTTACCCATGGGGTGCAGAGAAACTCCTGACTGCATATGTGTGCCGGGTGTCGTGTGCCGGGTGTCATGTACCAGGATGTTTACAGAAGCAGTGTTTGTCATTGTTGAGGACTGGAAACAAGTGTCATTGGCAATAGGCTGGATAAGTAAGTTGTAGTATATCCATACTTGGAATTCTATTCAACAATGAAAGTGCATTAATTATAGCTACACACAACAACATGGATACCTTCAGACATTAATATTGAGCCAAAAATTCTAGGGTAGAGCACCAATGTATATAAAACTTCTTTATTTAAAAAACTAAATAATGTATATTTTATTAATATAAACAGGTGGTAAAACTGAAGACAAGTAAAGGAATGATAAAAAACAAATTCAGAGAGGGAATGGGATACAATTATGGATCTTCAAAGGAAATAGTAACGTTCTTTTCTTCAATTAGATGTTGGATACTTGGGAGGTTTTTTTAAAATAATGTATGTAGATTTTTTAAACTTTCATATCTGCTCAATATTTAATAGCATTGCTCTTGAAGTCACTTACTAGGCACACAAAATTATGACTATTCTTAGATTAAGAATTTCACTGGAACAGTGTTTTCTGACTAGTACTTCTCGGTTGTGAAATGATAGGATGCAATGGGAACTTTTTAAAACCTACTTCTTGTGAGGGAAGTTGTAACTTAAAATTTGGTTTCTAACTGATTATCCACTGGGAGGTAAATGGCAATTGGTTTTATCTTCTGTGTAACACTATTAAATGTTTTCCTTGATTGTGAAAATTCTGCAGTTTTATAATGGTTTTCTTGTTTTAGGTTCTTTTTCCTTCCCTCATCCTTATAGGCTCTATATTTTTGTCCTCTGTTCCTTGAAAGAAAAGTGGGATGTTTAGTAATTGTGTGTGTGTGTGTGTGTTTTTCCTCACACAGCAGGGCCTTCCAAAGCGAAATCCATTTTCTCTTCACTAGAATAGCTAATACTAAATAAAGGAGTTAGCTCATTTGGAAAAGAAGATGACAGGGAGGTAGAAATGTTCTCTTTACTCACTCTTCTACTCCTTGAGGCCCTTCTCGTGTTCCCTTCTCACATTGCACAGGGTGCTTTTCCATGGCTCCTGACCTCCAGTGGAATTCCACGCCTGTGTGGAAGATGCCCCACAGCTGATTTCGTGGGCCCTCCATCTAAGCCAAATGTATTTAAGCCCCAATCCTGAAACTTCAAAGGAATAAAAACAATAAATATAAACATGTCTCTTAATCACATAAAAAACATTTGCCTTTTAACAATTTTTTTCCACAAACATTTGCTGACTACAGTATACCTCTTCCCCAATATTTTAAATCAAGAGTTTAGTGAAGTTTGTCACTATATACAAGTATTTTTGTTTGGAAAATAAGATTGAAAGATATTCTGGCCTTTTAAAATGACAGTATTTTGTAATTGTAGAAAGTTTAGACAAGTTGGTGTGGAAATTAAGTTAAAGTTTTAAAATTAATTTTAATTACATAAATAACACATTGGTTCACCCCTTATTCATGGATCATATGTTCCAAGACCCCCAGTGGATGCCTAAAACTGAGGGTAGTACCAAACTTAAAATATACTATGTTTTTTTTCTATATATACAAACCTTTTTACTAAAGAAAGCACATATCTTCTCTTTGGAGTTTTCAAATTGCAGCATCACGACCCTTGTGTTTGGGGGCCATTATTAAGTAACATGAGGGTTACTCAGACACAGGCATCATGATATCACAGCAATGGGTCTGATCTTCGAGACGGCTATTCTGAGACCGGCCCGATTCCCGTCCCTGGCGGGATGGCGTAAGATCTCATCAGAAGGGCATGCGATTGAAAACCTATGAATGGTTCGTTTCTGGAATTTTCAACTTAATATTTTCTCACCACAGTTGGCTGCCGGTAACTGAAATCACAGAAACTGAAGCTGCAGATGAAGGATTTATCTATATATTGTATATAACTCTTGATGTTAAATTTAAAACGTGGGTAAGGCCAGGGGTCTCTTTTGACCAGCACTCCTGAACCAGTGCTCTTCTCAGATGTAATCCTATTTCCAGTTTGGTTACGTGTCCCCAGTCTTTTGCTTCTACATTTTATTCATACACACATACATATATGTGTATCACGCATGTACTGGTAGAGAATATATGTTTTATGTTTTATCTATTGTATAATGATTTTTTGTCAGTTCATGTATATCTATATATTTTTTATGGATAATGGGGTTTTTGCTTTTTTGTTTCTTCTGCTGTTACAGAAAATGCTGCATTGGTTGTTACATGTGTGTGCATATGTGGTGTGTGTATTCTGGATACCGATCATCAGTTTGTTATACATATAGCAAGTATTTTTCTAGTCTCTTAATTCACATCTGGTTATGGTTTATGTTGGTTTTTTTTATGTGCGATCTTAAACTGACCTCCTAGGATCATAAACATAGTCTCTTATATTTTAAAGTTTACATTTGTAGTTTTGTTTTTAACATTTAGTTCTTTAATCCATCTGAAACTTATTTTTGGGAATGGTGTGAAGTAGGGACCTAAATTTACTTCTTCCCGGTTGTTCTAACACCGCTTACTGAATGGTGAGTCACTGACAGGAAAAGTACCGTTTACTACCACGATGACTGCTAATCAAAATGGGAGTGCATACCAGGACCAGACATTATTCTACATACTTTCTGAGAACTATCTCTTAATCTTCACACCCAATTGCACAGTTGAGGAAGTGATGCACAAAGAGATTGATTAAGTGACTGCCTTGAATAACACAGCTGCTGGGTGGTGGGACTTGGATAATGTAATAATCCAAGTATAACTTAAATAATGTAATATTTGTAAAGTTCCTATCAAGACACATAGTATGCAGTAAATATACATTTAATTTCCTTCTTAAAACATGCATATGAAAGCCCTTGGTTTAGATTTATAATTTGCTTTTCCCATATATACAGACTGGCACAACTAATTGCTCCTTTTTTATTACAAAATATTTTATTATAATATAAGCATGTAATTTTTAACATATACATCACATGATATTTTAGGTGACATGTTCACATTAAAACTATAAATTATTATACCCTTATTATTACCCTACCAACCACTCTCAAGCAATTCTTACTTCTGCTAATAGATGAATACAATAATTTTTATTTGGGATATTTTAAATGAACTAAAGAATTTCTTAGCTAGATGCTATAAATAGATTTCTCTGCCAGATAATTGTAAATCCAGTGTCTTCAAATAACTTATCTCTCTTCTTATTTCTACAGTTGACTATTGTAGGCGATGTAGACAGTTTGTTCTAGAAAAAAGGTATTAAGGCCCTCTCAATCTGTGAGATGGCATACTACAATATAAATGTTTCTTCCATTATGATTTCTGAATGTCGAAATTTGAAGATGATAAAAAGGAAGTTGAGAGAGGTTCAATTGCTAGCCAAAGGAATTATGTATAATACATACAAGAGCTGGAATTCCAGTCCAGGTTAGCCTGGCCACAAATCCCCTAATTATCCTATCATTGCATATTTACACTAAGTTTAAAATCAGCCACTTCGATGCCACATCATTACATATGCTATGTTAATAAGGTGAAGTGCTGAGTCAGGTGGGCTCTGACTCCTTATAACTGATCCCCTCAGTTTTGGAAGTACACCTTATCTAAACACTTTTTCCTAAAATGCATCAAGTTCATCTTCCATTTTTATTAGATGTCACCATAGTGGTCTCCAAGTAGCCCTACAGCCCCATGGTTTATTAAAGAGCTTAATAAAAAACTTTATATGATAGATTGTGAAGTGAATTTGTCAAATACTGTTATTTTATATGACATTTAATAATTTACTGAAAGATATAAAGTGATATTAAAATTTTCTCTAATCATTTAGAAGTTACATTATTAGATTGTGTAGTTTTTGTATTATCATTTATAATTATCAATATATTGTGTTATATACATGTATTTATAAAGTGCTGATGAATCATGGCTAATTCAATGCCCAGGAGAGAGATTATATACAATAATGAGTCATTTATTTCTTATGAACATAATTGGTGTCAAGCAAGCAACATGTAGCATAAATATGTATTTTGTGGTTGAATAGAAAAGCATGTTTTTCACTTGGTCTTAGCCAAAAGGCCAAGAAGCAGAAAAACATGTTTATCAATTATGTAAGTGTAGTATGGTTAAGTGTAACTTTTACCAATCAAATGGAAACCCTCTCAGAGAAAATTTATAAAATGAGAATGATCAGTGACTAACTCTGTTTTCATAAAATGAAGAGAGATCTTAAGTTAAAACCCTGCGGTGCGCTGTGAAGTGAGCGACTGTGTTGTTCCGTTTCTCTGCCCGTGTCTCATGCAGGTGCGGCAGTAGCAGGCATTTACAGAGTGGCAGGGAAGAACATGGCCCCCTTGGAAGCGCTGGTGTGGGGTGTTGGACAGACGGTACTGACATTGATCATCTCCTTTTCAAGGATCCTCGCCACGCTTTGAGGTTTCTGTAGAAATGACTTACTTCACATAAAGAAACAGATGTACAGATTCTCTGAGAATGGCACTGTTAGCAAGTGGAAATGAAATCAGAGAAGAATCTTGGAAGGAGCAGGTCGGAAAGTAAGGCCTTGAGCTGTGTGGAAAGATTGCCCTCTGGTGTTCAAGTGATTGCACTACCGCACTGCACCTTACGTGCCTCCATCCCAGGCAAGGCGAATTACACTGAGAAGCTACAAGAAAAAGCACCTTGTTTAGCTGCCAATCAGGTTAACATTGGTGTTGAATCATCATTTTTAACAGTGTTGTGTTTAAGTTACAGGGACATTTTGAAGAATTGATGTATGTGCCAAACTCTTTTTTTATACATTGATCGTGTGACAATTTGCAAGTGTAGATGTAGATGAGTGCTGTGAACATGTTTGACATGAATTCAGGTAATATAGTGAGATTTTTGTTCTGTAATCTAAGTCCTGTATGAGTGCTGAATACTGAATCATTTACTATGAGATAAATTATTTGATTTTCATTGTTGAACGTTTCTGGGATTTAGGGCTTAATATGTTTAGGCATTATTGTTATTTAATTTATGTGGAAAATAACACTTAATGGAAAACTAGCTGAACTCTTTTAAGGACTCACAGTAGATTTATAGGGTGCATCCTTTTCACTCACTTAAATAACAGTCTTTTAATAGTTTCCCTCATATATAAATGTTCTGTTGATATAAATTTAAAACCTTTATGGGTAACATATACTGATTGTGCTTGTGCGTCATAAAAATATAATTTGAAAATTTCTTATAAATTTTGTTAGAAGTCTGAAATGCATGTTTTTGACCCTTCTAAAGAAAGTTTTTGCCTTGTATTTCGTGGAGAAAACATCTTTATAATTAGTATCTCAGTGGGATTATATTACTTGTTGCATATGTCTTGATTTTTGACAAAATGTAAACAATCTTTCATTCTGGAGTATTAACTGTATTTAAGAGTGGCCTAAATTAGGCTGTGAAAACACAAAGCCTCATTTGTAGATAAGTAACAGTAAGTTATATAGGAAGATTAATAAACCATCTTACTTTGGATATGTGGTAACACACCTTCACTAAGAATTGGAGAATTTAGTAAATAATTTGAAAATTTGGCAGTTATTCTCAGTGTATCAAACAGTACTGAAATATATTTGAATATTTCATTTTAGTTGTTCTCGATTTATGCTGTTATTTAAATATATTAGAATGTCATGACATTTGTTAGAAACGAAAAAGCCCTTAGTATAAAATATTTTAAGAAGTTTTGGCAACCTATCCTTTTTTTTAAGAGTACAGGAAGTAAGGAAAAGAGAACCTGGTTTAACTTCTACTGACTTTTTTTAGTACCAAGTACAATTAAAATCTTCTAACTCAAAGGAGTAGCCGTTGCAGAGAATATGAGTTAAGGACAATCCAAAAAAATAATCTGCACACTCTAGCCTTGCTGTTTTATAACCTGATATGGTAAAAAGTAGATTTCTATTGGGTCCCATTCAAATTTAAGGCCTTTGTTACCCACACCACTTTTTTCTTTACCAAATAAAACAAACAAACAAAAAAACCAGAAAAACCAACAACTTAACAGTGAAGAATTGCTGGGGGCAGAGGGGAGGTACTTTCATCAGTAGGGAAGCTAATTTGGGGGATTTTCTAATGCTGTGACTTAGAAATTTGGTTAAAAAAACAATTAGCAGCTATGCATTCATAGAGATCTTTGATCTTAAAACTGATTTTAAATTATGTACAACCCTGAAATTACTTTCATGTGTTCTTTATATTTTTGATGTTTTCCAAACTAAATTTAGGCATACATTTTCCAAATCAATTTTATTTCTCCTTTTCTGTTAGACTTGAATTCAGTGTTCTTTTTTTACTTTGGCTATTCTGTCAATAATTTAAAGTGTTTGTGTTCTTTGAGAGGAATTGCCAATAACATATTGGAGATGTACAAGATGAATATTTAACATATGGTTATGTTATGATTTAAGAAAGTTGTCTTGGTGAGGTAACGTGGAGCATGTGGTTCAGAATCCAGAATCAGCCAGAAAATAACTTGGGCACGTAAACGTACGAATGCACGGACCAAAGAGACTTAAACTCCTGTTTTTACTCTAAAATGGAAATATAATCGGATGGTTAGTAGTTAATTTGTAGAATGTCCTAATCTCATTATCAAGTTGCTTTACATGATGAGTTGTGTGTGTATGTGTATTTTTAACCTGCGGGGGTGATTTTTTGGTTTCTTTGCTGTTTGCAGCTATTTCCATTGGGATTTTGTGTAACTATCACTTTTGATGTTTTGAAAAACAGTTGAATAGTGTGAATTGAAGGCATTATCTTAATAGCTATTTCTATGCTGAGATTTTTTTAAGTTAGTGGTTTTCTTATAGAGACCTGAGCGTTTAATGATATATATTTACACACACATAAATCATTATATACGTATATATAAAGCTGCTATGCGAATACAGTTGAATTGGAAAGCTTTTGTTTGGTGAACATGTTCATGTTCTAATGAAGAATTTGTTCAGTTGAATGATCTCTTAAATAGGTATGAGGATGTTTGAGATTTTTTAATTTGGGAAGTTAGTAGTGTGGGAGACACTTGTTTTTGATATGACAAAAACCCTTATTGATGTATTTGTGTTACATCTTAAAAATGTGTCTGATTTTTTGTGTGTGATAAATGCAGGAAGGACAGGGGAAATCCTCTGTAGTTTACACTTCTTTATTTTCAAATAATGTTTAGTAAAATATTGGTGATAGTGAAATCAATTCCCCAAAGAAGAGACTCCTATATGCCCAAACTAATTATTTTTTAACATACTGGTTAGAAATAACTATAGACCAGAGTTTAGTCAGGGGGCCTTATCTAACCACAAATGATGCTTAAAACCTTTAAATGAAGAAGGTGCAAGTAATCGCCCCCATGGGATGATTCCCTTGGCTGTCTAGAATAAGGAAAGTCCTAAGTGATGGCTGTATTCAGTGCTTGCAGCTTCATTATTCTTATTTTATATCTTAATGTTTACCAAACAGTGTTACAGTTTGTTACCCAATGTACTGTCTTAGTATTTGCGGCATTTAGTATATCCACTGCCCTAAAAAGTGTCAGGATTTCATTTGGACTTTAAGTGAGAAATAAAGAAATGAGCTGCCTTGTATATCATGTATCTGTGACATAATGAACAGGGGTAATTTAAAATCGAAGAACATACTGGAAAAGTCTCTTGAGTACTTGAATTAAGATGAAGAGTGTGGGGTTGACAAGTTAATATGCACAAGCTGACACAGACCGACAAATTCAATTTTGAAAATACTTTCAATCTACTAAGTACAAAGGGCGATACTGAGCGTTTTCTATAGCAAGTACAAGGATGGCTAAGAAAGGATTTTGGCCCTGAGTTCACCAAGAGCCAGCAAGGTGGTTTCAAATCCTGAAAAGATTGGGACATTTTGCTTCCTAATTCTACTTAAGAGTTCAAGTCCTTTCCCCCTGAATTCTGGTATTCCCAATCCACCCACCAAATGGAGTTTCAGTAATGGGGAGCGTGTTGCTGTGGCAATGTGAGGAGAACACTAGAATCGAAACCAAAGATGCAAATTTGAATCCAGGCCCTGTTACTTGTTGACTTTTGTTTGTGAATGGCACACTAGTGAATGTTTGACAGTAAGTAACTGATAGTCAGTAGAAATTTTTTTAATTACATTTTGCAATAGTAATTAAATGTTTTGAAAAATTCATCTATTTTCTTTTATTTCTACACTTTCCCTATATATATTTTAAGAAGGAAAAATTAAAATTATTTCCCTTATAATCTTGCTTCCTTTACCTCCTCTTTATTTTTCAAATCAGCAAGTGCTTTTATCTAAGAGCATTTTTAGGAGTTGGTGGTGGTGGAAATAGCCAGAGCAAGCAGGATGAAATGACAGGTTAAAGTAGTGAAAGGGAAGAGGCAGCCAGTATTTACTCTTTTATCTTACCCTGCTTCTTCCTTTGGATTCATTCAGCGAACATTCACTGAATCTCTACTACTTGCAGCCTACTGCCTTGTTTAAGGGATGGAGAAGTGTCTCCTCTGCTGTTCACCCCCTCGCGCATCCTGGGCGTAGTGTACATTCTGCACGGAAAGGGAGCTGGGCTTCAGTGTCTGCTGAGTCCTTCACTCTGTGGCCCACGGTGCTTAAGATCTGGTTGTTGTTTGTTTCCTTGTATTTTTGCACTTAAAAATACTGTTATTTTTCATTTATGTCCTTTTTGTGATTCAACAAGTAACTATTGCAATTTTTTTCTCTCAGAAAACTTTAATGGGAATCTCTCCAAGGAGTCGTTACTTGTTTGTAAGGTGTGGAGAGTGGAAAGTCACTGATGGAACTCTAGTGGGCCTAGATTGCAGAGAAGTTTGGCAACACTTGAGTAGCTGGGTAGATTTTGTTCTTTCTTTTAATAATCAGAGTACGAATCTCACTGATTAAAATTGACTAGTCATCAGCGTGGTCTCATAATTTCTCTTAACTCACAGGTGGCAAACACAAGGCCCATGGGCCGAATCCAGCCCTGCACCTTGTTTTATCTGGCTGGCACCTTGTTTCTACCCGGTGGCAGTGCCAAGCTCCCACTTAACTGTTAAGGAGTAGTCACATTTATACAGTCCTAAAATTACATTCAGCCCTTAGTGGGCAACAGCGAGGCTGATGTGGCCCCTGGTGAAAATGAGTCTGACACCCTTGCTAACTGTTGGTACTTTTCATAACATCTGAGGGGTAAACTCTCCAGGATAAAAAGGACATTATTTGATTAAAAGTGATAAAAATTTTCAAAAGTGGTAGTATTTTGTAGCAGAGGGAAGCTTAAAGATGGGGATGCACGTTGGAGGGTAACACACGAAACACAGGTGTCCCTGAGGAAGTGCCCCGCATTATGTGGGCAGTTTCCCCCCTCGCATGAAGGATACAAACCACATCATATGAGTATGCGGACTGTGTGAGTCCAAAGTGCTGTTTCTTTCTCTGAGCCAACTTTCCACAAAGCATTTTGAAATCATTATTCCTTCTTTTCTGTGTGTGGTGGTGGTAGGTTTGCCCTTCTAAGTTAAGGATCGCTGTTCAGTGTAGGCAATACAATGTTTTTGAGCATAGTGCTGAATCAGTTATCTAAAAATGCATCCCAATTTGTTTGGAGGAAGTAGTGCTTAACATATACAGTATTTTCAGTAAATGTGGAAATGTATCAGTTAATACTTTATTAAGTTACTGGACACACCCAGATTTCTGACTGAACTGAACTGTAAACTCTAACCATCTCGTCCCTGCATTTAGAAGACTCATTTGCACATGTTTTGCATTCATTGCACATACATTGAAGTCATTTTTAATAACCTTTTCTTGATTTTAAGAACTACTTTAGCGATTTCTTAAAAATCGCCCTCCCCTTTCCATACATATGTCATATGTTATGGTTTAAATGTATGTACAACTTGTTCATAGAGTCAGAAGGGCTGGTTTTGAAGAGAATGTGCTTAACGCCTTATGGTTATGCAGCTATAACCTTACTGAAAAATAGATACTATAGGCAAGTGAAGAGAGCATGAACCTCCTACATAGTTTTTTAGACCCCATACTGCACCCATCCATAGGTAGCCCCCTCTGCTGGAAACACGACTGCCCCCCTTCGGAGGGTGCACTGAGATACGTAGCCGAAACTGGAAAGTGGGGTAGCGTAAACATACAGAAAGAGGAACTGTAATGCATAGTTACTATAAGAGTAACCCTGTTCTCCTAAATATCTTATGCACTGGCAATTTCTAAGGAGCATTACTTTTTTAGAGCCCTGTATAAGTGAATGGTAACTCGATGGTATTACAAATGAGAAAGGTTTCCTTTGTTTTCAAGTTAGTGTGTTTGCACATCCTTGCTAAGTATCTCTGGAAAGGAACATTTTAAAGTTTTCTCCACAGAAAGCAAAATAGAAGCACCTGTTTAAAAAGTAAACCATAAAAATTGTTCACTTCCAATAATGGGTGAGTTGGTAGTCTAAGTATTGATACTTTCTTAGTATTTGTGATATCGGATACATTTATGATGGAGGAATCTTAAAAAATTTTGGTGCTCTGCACACACCTGAGCCCTGCACATTTAGATGAACATGTGAAATCCTCAGTGTTTTTCCACAATAGCCACACAACTTGATAAAACTCTACCATAAAGTGTTAACTCCTGACTCCAGCCATTCTGTGATGAGGGAATCAATTTTATTTTGAAGTTAACCAACTAAAATGTATTGGTTTAAATAGCAAAAAATATACTTCACCTGATAGAAATTCAAAGAGTTACTTTCAAACTGTGTTAACTCTCAGACCACTGATGAATCATTTAGTAACCTGTTTTTAAAAACTTAATGATGTCTCAGTACCTCGGAAGTTAAGATATTTTTCCAAAGTGAACCTGGTAAGATTCAGGATTGGCCTGTTAATGAGGATTCAGAGTTAAGGAACTGTGCAAGTGAAATAACTTCTTATGGTTTAATAAAGATCAGTTACTTTGCCATTGGCAATGACAGATGACAACTACTTTCATGTGGTGTTTGTCTTCTTTTCTCTGTTTTTTAAGCAATTTTGAAATGGGGAAAATGAAATCTAAACAATTAAAAGTGGGATTTTAAAATTTAATTTTGTTGTGAACTAGAGAAGCTAGTAAAAACAGCATTAGTTTTGTATTGTAGTAAAAGGGCAGACACTTTATGTAACCTTTAGAGATATGTTTACCATCAGGGACTTATTTTTGCTATCAAACTACTTAATGTACTGTGAAGCTTAGCGACCGGAGGGGTAAGTGTCGGCGGGTCTGCGTGCAGCCGCGGAGGTGGGTGTGGCCACGGCCCACGGTAGGTGAGCACAGCTTCCCTTCTGTTAAGACTATAAACTACACTGTATGAAAATATGTACTGCATGTTTACATAATACAGTTTAATTTTGAAGGTTTATTTTTTAAAAACTATGTTTATGTATAATACCTAACAAGCTGTAAATATTGTATATACTATTGATTTTTAATTTTATATAAGCAATTTTTTAATTTCCCAATTCATGTACAAATCTCATTGTATATATAGCATAATTTCCTGGATAACTCAGATTTTGCAGTGAATTTTAATTATTTTAACTGTGGTAAGCATCAGGTTAGCCTTAGAGATGTTAATCTTTGTTTTAAATTATTTTTACCACTCATCTTTTCAAAGGGCAGCAATAAACATATGCAGGTCACTTTTGATTATAAAAAGTTGGTCTGTAAAGACAAGCTCTAGGTTCCAATTCATTGCTTAAAAAAAGATGCACAATTACTATCATCCACTGTCTAATCAACAGGACCATTTCTGAGGTCCGTAGGTGGTGTCCTCGTAACATACAGGGTGATTCTGCTGATACATACACAACTGTTAAGAGTGAATCCAGCACTTAAATGTCATAACACAGAATTTAACAGATTAAAATTTGTAATATACAGTATTTTAATAAAGTTTCTGTATTCAATTTCATGCGCTTATGTATAAATAAACCGGTCTTTAAAAGTTTTATGGGCTGTTTGATTCTCGATGACATACCTTTTCAATTCATTCTTTGTGAACTGAAATGCTTTCTCTCGCCCTTTCATCAGTTTCTTTGGGGCAGTTTTGCATGCAGGTTTTGGAGGTGGTGCTGAAAGGTAACTATGAAATCTGAAAGGCAAACTTGGTTTGGTTATAGTTGAACTTGGTCTCAGACCAGTCCTAGGCAACATAAGCATCTACTTCTAAGGGTTCTTGTTTTGAAAAGCAGACTATTGCTTTTATAATAAATGACCACCATTTATTGAGTGCTTGTTATGTTACACACTTCACATGTGTTCTCTAGTACCGTAATAGTGCTTCAAGTTAAGTGTTTTATCCTACTTTACAGATGAAGAATTTTAGGGTCACAGAAGGTGAAAAACTTCTCAAGGTCACGTAGCTAATAATTCTAAATCAGGGTTTTCTTACTCTTACTTGTGCTCTCCCCACCCCCACTGTGCTGTGCTGGTTTCTACAGGGCATTCTGGGAGATCTCACCTGCAACAGGATAAGAACTCATTATTGAAAATCAAAAGAAATTATTGGGGTTTGAAAAATCACCTCTGGATTTGTGTTTTCAGATTTTGGATTTGTGTTTTCAGATTTATGCACATTTTAAATATTTACTAGGGATTTCTAAGGAATGGTACTAGGTATCCAACTAGGCTTTACCATGCTGTCTGAGAAAAGGGGGCAGACAGGACAAGCCACTCGAAGTGTTTCAGCTGTGCTGGGGTAAAGACTAGCTTAGCTTAAAAACCTGGGTAAACAAAAGGGAAGTAAATGTGTTTTCCCATACAGGGTCCAGCACAAATAACGCCCCTTTTTAATTACAAAATCTTTTACTACAAAATCATAAGCATGTAATTCTGTGACAGAGCAATATTACACTCAAGCACACCATGTGACATTTTTGGTGAAATGTTTGAATTAAAACTATAAATTATTACACCCATATTATTTACCCTACCAACCACACTCAAGCAGGAATTACTTCTGCCAGATCCTATATATTGACATTTTATGTAATTACTAAATTGAAATGTATTTCCTTTTTTCTAGGTAACTTTCAATCATAGAATTATAAAAATTATTAAACATTTTCTTCCTAACCATGAGTCTGAAAAAGTTCCCGAACAAAGTATAAATCTTCAGATTAAAAAGAAAATTTCTATTATGATTCTATTACCTTTGACTCTTGAATTAATGTTTTTGTAATGTTTTTTAAGAGGTAATCTCTCTGGGTATTATGTTTACTGAGCACCGACATGAAGCACTGGATTCCTGACCTGTTGCCATCTGTGTGGAACGAGACCAGAGGGAAAAGCAGTCCAGAAGAAAGAGGCTCAGGTCCTGCACTGAACTTTATGGTGGAGAACAAGTCTTAGACTTACTGAGTAGGTACTTATGTCATCTCTTTTAGGGCTGAACCATTAATTCTAAAAGGGTACCTAAAGTTTTAGGGCGTACAGAACAGTAAACGGGACCAATGGCAGATCTGTGAGGAGTAAAATTTGGGTTCACCTCCAGCTTCTCAGAGAACCTTAACTGAAGAATCTATCCCATTCTACTGTTCCTGTTCATCTGCCCTTAATTTTCTGTTGTTCATTGTCATTATTTTTCTTTTTTTTAATTTATTTTTTTCATTGATTATGCTGTTACAGTCGTTCTATTCCCCCCCTTCATTCCCCTCCACCCTACCCCCCCATCCCCAACATTACCCCCCCTTTAGTTTATGACCACGTGTCTCAAGTTCTTTAGATTCTATATTTCCCATACTATTCTTGCCCCCCATCAATTTTCTATCTGTCTATGCTACTTATTTTCCGTACCTTCTCCCCCCTTCTCCTCCTCCCACTCCCCTATTGCTAACCCTCCTTGAGATCTTCATTTCTATGTTTCCACTCCTGATGTAGCTGTCCTTTTAGTTTGCTTTTGTTTTAGGTGTGGTTGTTAATAACTGTGAGTTTGTTGTCCTTTCACTGTTCATGTTTTTTTAACTTCTTTTTCTTAGATAAGTCCCTTTAACATTTCATATAATAAGGGCTTGGGGATGATGAACTCCTTGAATTTGATCTTATCTGAGAAGCACTTTATCTGTCCTTCCATTCTAAATGAAAGTTTTGCTGGATAGAGCAATCTTGGGTGTAGGTCTTTAGGTTTCATGACTTGGAATACCTCTTTGGCCAATTTTATGAGCATTCTTCAAGCTCACACTGATATGCAAAGTAGAATTGCATCAGGTGGTCTATTGCAGTGCAACAGTTTTGTCACTAGATGGTGCAGTGGTTCTGTTTTACTTCTCTCTGGTCTCAGTCATTCTTACCCAACTTAACTTACTCTGTACTTTTGGCCATTTTTACCCAAGAATCTTAATTAACTCAGTTTGTACTTCTTTTTCATAGGATACATATAATGTTACCTTTTTTTCATAAAAATACACACTAGGAAATTAAAGTAGAGAGTTTTTTATGTTATCACTAACAAATTTAACCCTCCAAAGGATGGTAAAATACAGTGTTCAAGGTTTCTTTACAAATCAGAAAATGACATTAATTGTGTGATTTTGATAAGCCATTCATTAATCTGTACCTTGATTTATGTATTTTTCTTAAATTTGTCATTCTGACTCGATGCATAGTGGCTTTTATCTAATTAAAATAAGTAGTAGTTTGTACTTTAGTGACATTTAGTTACATTCTTGGTCAACTTGGGATAAAAAGGAAAACGTCAACATGACACAATCATCCTCACTGAATTGTGAGATGGTTTTAAATTCCTGCTCTGCAATTTGTGTTTGAACTTGGCTGGGTTATTTCACTCCCGGGATAACGGGAATCAGTCAATGGGAATGACGTCTAGTCCCACATACCTACATAGCGGGTGCGCAGCACATCCTCCACTCCGCCCCGCTGGCCCCCTCTCGTCCGTTGTGTGCCTGCGGAAGGATGATGTAGTTCTAGGTTTGCCCCACGTTTTGGTAGTAAGTTTAGATTCCTTTATTTCAAAGTCAGCTAGATTCTGTTTCTGTACAGTGCACAGTGCCTTCTCAGAGGGTTTGTTTCGTGTTTAAACTGCCCCATTGAACTGTGTGCTGCTTTGGCAGCAAAGCCTGCTGAAGAAATTTTTTACAACCATACCTCAGTGAAAAAGAGCCTGGTTAGAAAACAGAATGAATAAACTTGCTCAGCTAGCAAATTCCTTGCATTCTCTAAACCTAATATGTACAAAACGAGGAAGCCAAAGCAGCCAACACTAAATCCCCCGAAGATGGTCGTGACTCACCTGTCAGCTGCGCACTGCCATCAGCCAGCTCAGATCCTGTTGCAAGTGGGCTTCTCAACTTTGTTTATTGTTCCACAGAGAGAGCCTTCAGTTCAGATTCAGAGAAGTGTTGCTCTTTTTAGCTCCAGAGCCTCTGGTCTTCAAAGTGCAGGTCTTATCACACAGCTGGGGAAACAAACGTGCCGGAGAACTCCAGGTCTTCAAGAAATCAGGACTGGACTTAAGAGATCATAGAAGATGAACAGATTTTCATAGAACAACAGTTGTCCTGTTACTTTTGCTTACTTTTTTGTGGGAGTAGGTGTTGCTAGGTGACTCTAAGATGTGATACAGGAAGACATTTGTGTTATCTTTGATGGGGAAAGTAGGAGAAGGTACAGAGATGGGTGGGAGATGTTGCAGGGCTGAAGGAACAATTATGAGAGACTGCAGACATGTGAAAGCTCTGTGCTTGCTCACTGAGCAGGGAAAGGATCAGACCTGGGTCTTCTCCCTGGTTCTCTCCCTTCCTGCACATGAGGCCTCATATGTCAATTTTCTTTCTGTAATAAGCATGGAAACGGACTAACTGCTTTTGTGGTCTCTTAAATGTAGGTTGAAACTTTTAATGTAGGGACAGACAACACCAGTCTAGTTCTGTTATTCCCAGACCAGGACCCATTTGATGTCATTGACTTGATATTTGCCGTATCCATTATAGTTCTCAGCTTTAGTCCATCTTCAGATTTCTTACTTGAAGATTGTTTAACTTAATGGCTTTTTGCAAGATGAAGGAAAAGGGATGAAATTTCAAATCTAAACCATGACTTCTGGGTTTTAAAAATTAGTATCCTCAGGAAATATGTAAAGCTTATATTATTGGTAAGGTAATCCTTGAAATAATGTTGGTATTCAAATTTTATTCTCAAACTATTTTCCCATACACGGTCTCATTTTATCCTCACAGTTTGTACTTTTTAGGGGAAAAGGAAAAATGCCTTTGCTTTTCCTTTGAAATCAAAACCACTTACCTGGCCAAACACAGGTCTTTCATGAGACTTGGACAGCTGTTTGAACAAATGCTAATAGTTAAAAAGAGACCTAAAACAGCCACGGTAGCCTTGTTGCCTGAACTCAGGTAATCTCCAGGGGCCTGAAGACAGTCATGCTGGTTGAGTCCTTCGGTGGAGACTGGTCAATTCCTGAGGAACCCGTGACTAGCTGGTTCTCCTGCTGTAATGCTTCGACTCTAGCCTTTCCATGAAAGGACACAGATAAGCCCAAATGTGCTCACAGGAGATCACATTTTGGAGTCGCCCTGTTTTCTTGTATCAGGAATATTTTGCTTGTGTTGGATAGCTTCAGTCCTAAGAGTTACATGCTAGCGTTGACAGGATGCTCGTACGGATACCAGTGCCACCATATTTAATTAAGATTTTCCAAGCAGATTATTTTCTAGATAAACCAGCATGATTTTCAGAGACTCTTGTTTCACCTTGATTGGTTCAATGCACACACTAATTATCTGGACAGGAAAAGTTGCCAAATCAAAGAAGACATTTAAAGTGTTCCTGGACATTTTGAGTCCAAAGGGGATGAAAGACTAAAAAGCATAATTTTGGTGTCATAGAAATGGGAAGCAGTGTTTTGAAGACATCTGTGGGCTCAGGCCTGCAGTGTGTCAGCAGCAGGTCTGTTGGCTGTGGCAGAAAGAATGAACACCACACTGATTAACCCAAGAATCAGGATCAAGCAGAAACACACCTACCCATGACATCCGAAATCTGTTCATGGCGTTTGAAACTGTATTGGAGAAACTATTCAAAGCTTGAGCAGAAATTTAGAAGACAATAGTGCCATAAATAGAGAGCAGGTCAGCACTGTGCTGGCCCTCCACTGTGGAAGAGACAAAAGGCAGAGATAATAAGTCGGTGAATAATCCCCAAAGAATTTTTGCCTGACATTGACATTTGTACCACCTTATAAATTGGCTTTATATCTCAAAACATGTCTTTCTGAAATCTGTGGAAGCTTTGTCTTCACTCACTGTATCTGGAAGCGGGCAGAGGTGTTCAAGTGTGAAAGGGTTTGGTTTAACGTTTTTGTTTTTTTTTTTTTTTTTTGCATGCAGGGTAGATAAAGAATTATGATGGGTCAAGTAGATAAGATTTTTTTTCAAAAGAACAATTCCAAAAGTCAATAAAATAAGCTCTGGAAATAGGCTTTGTTGCAATGCAGGGCTTTTTCCATAAGGTAATACGAGGACCATCCAGCTAAAAATAGCTAAAAATTAGTTTATTTCTTAAATATCCACGCAGTGTCTTTAATATTGGAAAATACCAGCTGTCAATTTGAGAAATATATAAAATCATTTGGTTGGGTTCTAGTTCTATGATGTATACTTCAAAGAATTCTATGGTTATCTTGGCTGTTACTAATCCAGATTGGACTCATTCTTTGGTCCAAATCTTCTAATAATTCTGGCTTGTAATAAAGAGATAAAGTTTCTGACTAAAAGTAAGGCCCAATCTTTGTAAAATTTCCCAGACTTAGCACCTTTTAAGCCACAGCAAAACATGTAAATAGCACTTATTAAGTGAATTCTGAAGATCACTAAGTGGTAGAAGTTCTTGAGGAAAAAAATTCTCTGGACAAATAATTTTGAAAAAACTTGCCATCTGTATTTCTGTCTTGGAGAGTCGCAATTCACAGAAGCATACTGAAGACTCCAGAAAGCTTTGAGTTAGGACCCCCAATGTCTAATGGCCATGAATTCGCAGAAAATGTATAGATGATAATACAAGAAATCTTTCTAACTGATCCCTGTGGCCTCTGGAAAAGCATATCCAAGGATATTTTTCAAGTTCTACCTGGTGTCCCCTCCCAAAGACCTCTGGCCTCTCACACAAAACCTGAAACAAGGTTTTAATGTCTAAGTTTTAACTTAAGCTTTTAATTCCTCTCTAGCCTCCAGTGTATGCGGACCTTCTCCTGCCCTGTGATGTCGCCATGTTTGGCAGATTTGTGACAGGCACTCCCTAACTTGCAGGTCCTTTGGGGTTTCCCAGGCCCCACCCCCGGCTGGTATGCACTATTCGTGGCCCAGGCTCAAGTCAGTCCTAGTCAATGGGACCCTCATAAAATCCAAGGTTGCATTTGGCAAATATCATATGAGAATTGCAGACTAAATGTCACAACATTTTAGCAAAGGGAGAGGCCCCTGCATGCTGGCAAGGTCAGTGACAGCTGCACAGATAACTTGGCAATAGGACAAGCCTTAACGTTTCTTCCTAAAGGCAGAAGTGGGGCCTATATGGCGAAGGAAAGGAATAGATGTGGATGCTTCAGACTGGAGAACAACAAACCCAGGTCGAGGATGGGGATATGCAGAGTGAGTGACAGACAGGCCAGGCTGAAGTGGGCAGTAGTGAAAGGCAGAACTACACGGTATGCTAGATGTGAGACCCCAGATGTGAGAGCCTTGAACTGGGCATATACACTTGAATTTCATTCTCTAGGTAGAGGAAACCATTGAAAGAGAAGTCCACCTGCTCTGAAATTAGAGGAAAAACAAGTGATGAGGTGCTGTCCCCGGCTCTCACATCGTTTTAGTGTTTGCTTCCTGGAGTTAGTGGGAGAGAAGAAGAGCTTCTGAGAAAGAATCCTCTGGATAACACGCCTTGGCCTCTTATTAGTGCCGCTTTCTTTATGATGTTGAGAAAGTGTATTAATCTTGAGAAGCTCATGTATAAAATGGTTTCCTCATGTAGGAAATGGTTTGCTACCTCATCAGGTTGTTATGAGGCTTAAACATGTAAAGTGCCCATGCTGTGGGAATGAAACATGGCTACAGACATACTTCCTAAAGCCGTGCACTTGGGGATTGCTGTGACCTGCAATATAAGCACCCCCATTTCCCAGGGGCATTGATAAGCATGCCACCTGGTCCTCTCTCTGCTTGCCCTTGGAAGCAAGCATTCCTGAGCCCCCACCGCCCTAATTGCCCATAACAGAGAGAATCACACTGCTAATGTATTTTTTTCTTCTTGAGTTGCTGCTTTTGGTTGCTGTTGAGGGCTTATCTCTCTGTTTTCTTCATTAGCGGCAGTGTTAGCTGTCAGCAGACAGGAGCAGCCACCTGGGCTGGCTCTGGGAGAATGACCACGTGAAACCCGATCTGCCCAGTGACCGCCCAAGCAAAGAAGTCAGTCGGGGGAAGTGGAACCAACTGACCCCAACCTGGCTGCTTTTGCCTAGATCTGGAGAACTAAAATTCCCTTTGTAGCTTCTCTCTTTCTTCTTTTTAAAGTTAGTTAATTGGGGGAGGGGATGCCCTCTGTGAATTCACACTATTTCTTATTCAGACACTACTTGGGGCTCAAGTCGTGACAAATAAGTAAAAGTAAATTCTTATATGTGAGCATTTATTTTCAACTATAAGATGCCTAGCAAATACTTATTACTACCCCCAAATTTATTTATGCCTTTTGATTTTGTTTCTCTCTTACCCTGTTGCTATCTGGTGGGATCTTTCATTTGAACCTCCTCCCCTCAACTCAGACCCTCTGGACTGAAGACTTCCTCTCACTTTCTCCTCATGTGGTAGCTCCTTCATCACGTGTCCATTTGGTTTCCTGTCTGACCCCACTGCCTTACCCCTGCCTCCCCACAGGCAAGCCCCCACCGCCACAGCTGGCTCCGGGTGGGGCTGCACCTGGATGTGGTTCCTGGAGAAAGGCTGGAATAGGCTCCCGGTTATAGGGAAAGAGCCCCTTGAGAGGGAGGCAACGGAGAGAGACAGAGAGGGAGAGGGAAGGAGAGAGAGAGAGAAAAAGGGAGAGAGAGAGACTGACTCTGTGTTATGGCAATGTTTCAAAGGAGTGAAGAGAAAATAGCCTTGAGAAGGTCATGCACGGTGTGGGAGGGGGAATTAGAAGGACATCTCATGACATGGTGGTTGAGGGTAAGATTGAGTGTAGCTAAGGGTAGGTAGGTGGTATTGATACAATCTTTATATCACTTTGAAATTACTTCTTTTCCTCCTTTTCCCTTTAAGAAATAAAAGCATGGAGCCAGGATGGTTCTGTGCTTGGTGTAGTGAGTGACTCTTACACCTGGTGTA